AAGTACATTTGTAATACATAGCTTCTTAAAAATGTAGCTTAACCCGTTTCAAATATACAGCAAATGATTCAAATGACGAGTTATTACTATTAAACAATCCCTTTTAATTTCAAGTAAATAGATTTTATTATTGAAAGTTATAAAATAATTTTTCTATATGTTTAAAGTAAAATAATACCCATTTCGTGGTCTTGATTTGACAGCACTGTATCGTTGATGTCTGTTAAACAAAACCATCGTTCAAATTATTATATGTTTAATTTAATGTTTGCCATGTTATAGCATGGATCGTTCAGGTGCCATTGAATGTATTAAACTGATAAGAACTAAAATAAATCAGTGATGATTTTTCAATTTGAACTTTCTTTTCTGATTTATCGATTGGTGGATCAGCAAATAAAACTGGTACAATTAGGGCAATGGACATGTATAAGTAACTGTCAAAAGCTGTACGGCATAAGATTTAGTCTAGAGGTTTGATAGATCAATGTTATTTCGAAAGTGAAGGAAGTACAACATAAACTGTTAACTCTGATTGTCACAGTGTTTTTTCTAGTATTAAATTGGTATAGCATTGTGTAAAATATGTGGTTTCTACTAAAAGAAACCTCAGCCCGTTCTGTTCTGGCTTTGTTACGTAGCAGATTGACACAAATCGTCTACACTGATTACTACAGCAAATTTTATTTAGCGTGAATTTGAAGATATGAATGGGTAAGATAAAATGGATGGAATAGGCTTTGCTGCGCGTTTTAGTACTATAAATTAACTACAGAAATTATTCGATTCGTAACTAAGGGATTTATTTTTCAGACAGGATGTTAGATCACACAAAAGATTGAAAGTTATAAAATAATCATTTGGAGATCATTCTCCAAATTGTGGCTAATTTATTGCCAATAACATGTCAAGAAGTCATCAAAGATTACCATTAAATGATTCAGTACTATAAGTTCATGGGACTTCTTAATGGACATTTGAATAATTTCAGAATAAATAACAAACAGTATATTAATATAGAAATTTCTTCGAAATGTCAATCACAAGTAGAGTTTATGAGTATTTACATTTGGTTTTAGAACAATGAACTTTATAACAGATTTTTGTATAATAGGCACATATTAGCAGTGCCAGATAACTTAATAATAATAATACTCACCAGGAGAGAGTCATTATAATATTTAAGTTAAATCCTGAATCACATTTAAACTCAGTGTATCTATATAATGTTTAAAATGAGCCTATAGCGAATAATTTTCTTCCAAAGACTTTCGGATCATTTCAGTATTTGAAAAAAAATTATATATTCTAAAAAGTTATTATGCATTAATAACGAATATACATACGCATATATATAATCGATTATAGAAAATTTCGGTTCTTAAACCTATCCTTAATGTGATTGATCCAGAATTTATGTATATATATTGATATACATAAATATAGTTTATAAAAACGATTTAAAGAAAATATCATCTCCTTAAAAACTCATGTTGCATTAATTTAAAATACATATATATACGTAAACATCTATAGTTCCTCGTTTAATATCGGAATGTCTCAGTCTCTCAAACCCATCTCTAGCTGATCCAGAATACATACATATTAAGATAAATATAATTTTCAAAAATAAATTTAAAAAAAATTTATCTTGTAAAAAAATCATGATGCATTAATAATAAATATTTATATACATAAATATAGTCCATCGATTAATTTCGGAAAGTTACAGTCTTTTAAACCGATCCCTAACTATGTACCTGATTCAAAATTTTTACATATTGAGATATATATGATATATAACAATTTAAAGAAAACATTACCTTTTTAAAACCTTTCACGTTACATTAATTTAAAATATATATATATACATATGCGTAAATATTTAAAGCCCCTTGATTAATTTTGAGAAGTCTCAGCCTTTCAAACCCATCTCTAGCTATGAGCCTAATCCAGAATATGTGAATATTAATATAAATATAACTTATAAATAAAATTTTTTAAAAATTTTTATCTTATAAAAAACTCATATTGCAATGAGATGGACATATAGATATAGTCCATCGATTAATTTCGGGAAGTTTTAACTATGTTTTCACAAATTTCATAATTATGTACCTCATCCAGAATATGTTGATATAAATATAATAATCCTAAAAAGTAAATTTTAAGAAAAGTAAATTTTAAAATTAAATATTGTTTTAAAAATTTTCGAAATTAATATTTGAAAAAGGCACTCAAAGGATGCCTCCTATGTTGGTAGCACTGAACTGTATTATATATAAAATTTAAGTGAGGTCCGTTGTTTAGTATCTTAACATTAGCTCTGATTCTAATTTAGGTTGATTTACGATCCAACAAAGCTATTGTTGTGCTGGTATTGTTGACAAAAAAAATCTAATATAGGATTACGGGATCGTCTAATCACCATATCTACTTAGTATGGTCAAATGTGTCCTCTTTCCGTTCCCAAACCTGAAATGACTATTAAAAAAAAGCCAATTCGAGTCGATTGTGGTCATAATGGATACTTGTTAAAAAAATCTGACGATCATATGATAATCAGCTAATAAAAATTGAGCAAATTATTGGATCAATGATTTCTTTACATATTATGTTTAATGGTTTGATTTATACCCTTTAGGTTTATAATCAAATTCATTTATTTAACAGTTTACATACACAACCTCCAACTCATCTCCTTGTTGATATCCATAATGAAACAATTTCATATGAAATGCATTTATACTTTTTGCTGAAAAAAATACTAAAAAAAATGTAAATAATATTATTTCATTTTTCAAAAATGCAACAGATTTTCCTACACTAAAACTAAACATAATTTCGAAACAAATTATATATAAAACTGAAGTAAACGCCCTCACACAAAATAATTGAAATTACTTTTAATTGAAATTCGAACCTCTGATATGAAATGAAATATCTCTGTTTGCTATCCAAATTCAATCAATTCATGTAATAAATTCAATTTGAATATAAATTACAGGTAAAAATATTTTGCTATTAAATTAAACTGCAACTAAAATAGTTAACAATAAATCAATGGCATGAAGTTTATTAAGAGTGAAGTAGAGTAACAAACTACCAAATACACTAACTACCAAATAGACAAACAAGCAAATAGACAAACAGACCGACTTTTTAATACTAAAGTCTGAATAAGAAACGATTCCTGCTCATATGTTAGAGCGTACACAAAAGGACTATCGGAAAAGAGGAAGTATATACTTTTTGACAAAATTTTATAGTCCTGCTTGTGCATGTGCAGGCAGTGAAACAGTCAGTGAGGCGAACAGACCAAAACTTAATCCCAGACAACGCATCAATACGACTGCTGAGCATGCATTCATAGATTGGCAAATGTATTTACAATACTCACATCTATGTTTGTATCTGCAAAATTTTAATTTTTGGTATTTTCAATAACGAAAGATTAATTTTTGGTTTCCAGCATATCATCATTTTATGCCGAACTTTGGCATGTCTATATTGTTGGTTGCAATCGTAAAAGTTTTAAGAGCACATAATCCGTTTCAATCGTGGTAATTGATTTTCCATTGCAAGTGTTATCGAACAGAAATAATGAACTTTTACTTGACAAAGGATTGCTTTCCAGACGGAACTACAGACACTTCCATTTAAATGATTCTTATGGAAATAATATTCTTTAATTTTGTATATCCTACATACGATGTATAAGAACTAGTAATTATATAAGTTCATACAGTGTTCTTAATTAATTAAGATTGTGTTTGATTTAAAATTGAATTCCATTCATTTAAATTTCATTATTTAGAAATATACCTTGTATATATATACACATTTGTAAATGCATATATTAGTCAGTAGTTTTGTTAATTAGCTTCTTCGAAAATATGAGTAGATAAGCATTAACTTAAGATGCTTTTGCGATAGTATTCAAAATAACAATAAATAAATAAATAACAATAAACCCATATATAAAATAGTTACATATAGTTAAAGGGAAAAGTGTTCATAACACTAGGTGTACTCTGTATTCGGACAGAGTTTCATACACTCGGTATGAAATATATCATCATACCAAGTATAATGAAGAACATATTATGAACAATAATATATACGTACCTTAGCATCACTACTAATATCTGTTAATTATTGTTACTTATAAAAATATTACGTAGACACTTAAATAATACTTATAGATATATTATATGAACCACTATTATAGTACGATTAACCTAGAGTTAAAAGTCACATTAACCAATAGTCTCGACGAAAAAATTTAGTTGACTTATAAATGTATTCAGTTGTAACTATAGGTTAGGTTAAGCCGACGACTTAAGGATCTAGTTAGGCCAACTGGCCCCGAATGGCCCACTGTGTTACCGTATAAAAACTCAAAGATTTAAAAACTACCTTAAGCTTTTAGCAAAGCCTAGAATGCTTTTTTGAAGAAGGTCCTGGAGTTGGCCTACTTATTAAAAAAAGTAAGCTCTTGACATAGTCATTCAACTCCGCACATGCGGTGGGCAGTGACAAAGCAAATGTAAAGCATTTTCAATGTCCTCTCTAGACTACGACACTAAACAAGAGATTCTATTAACACTTGTGACCAGTTTATAAACTATATATAGAATTTTTAACTATATATTCGAAAACCAATGTTATGTGAATGAATTATTGAATGGCAAAGAATCTTAGTAATAATCATAATACTATTAAATTTATGTTATATTTGGTAGTTGATTTTTAGTAGGGAATGCATATAGAAGAGGAAACACACTGTGCTTTCTAACATCTGGAAAATAAAAAAACGCAATAGACGTGCTGAAGGCTAAACGTAGTCTAGTATTTAACCCCCATTGTCTTAATCAATCATTGGGCTTAGTACTTAGTATCTTAAATAGATAGTTGTGACTTCTCCTACAATCATTAAATGACATTAATAAAAATAAAATGACATTAACAATAAAAATATTCTTATATAATTCAGCTTAAAGTGAATAGTTGACATGTAATATACGAGGGCGGTTTGATAAATCAGTGACTTTTTGAATTTCTCGCGCAGTTACTCCAACAGTGCTGCCGTCAGCTGTAATCTACCAGTGGGCAACTTTCTAATTTTGAGCAATCTATGTCGTTCAGTTGGTGTTTGATAGCCGTTCAAAACAGACAACCTTGTGAATTTTTACGAAAATGGAAAAAAGTGAATTCCGTGTGCTGATTAAGCATTCGTGGCCAAAATCCACGAATTGGGATACGCACTGCTACCCCATCCAACATATTCTCCAGATTTAGTCGCCTGCGAATATTTTCTGTTTCCAAACCTAATGAAATGGCTGGGAGGTAAGAGATTTGAGTCGAATGAAGAAGTTATTACCGCAACAAACACGTATTTTGAGAGCTTTAAGAAAACCTATTATTTGGAAGAAATGAGAAAATTAGAAAAAAAACGCTGGACTTAATGTATCGAGCTAAAAGGTGGTAATGTAGAAAAATAAAATGTTTATTTGCCGAAAGAAATGACTAAATGATAAGTCACTGACTTATCAAACCGCCCTCGTATATTATATAATATATAATAATACTTCTTTGGTTAAATTATTAAAATTTCATTCTTATAACAATAAAGAAACAAGTGCTATATGTACATGATTTATGCCAAATATTCATGGCTTGCTATACTGATATAAGTACATACTGGAATATATACATATATATAATTTGCAAAAATTCAATAAAAATGTTAATCCATATAATATATCATCGAAAATACATATTTTCAAAATATTCACGAAAATACCTGAATTTGGAAATTATCAAATAAATGTGATTTGTTGCGCTTATCAAAAACAACAAAAATTGATATTTAATTATTTTCTGCTTAAGAAAATATAAAAAATTCATATCCAAAATTAGTTCCAAAATGAACTTTGAAGTTTAATGAGCTACTCTAAAATGAAGTTAATATTTTTCCAAACATATTTTTATTGCTTGTAAACATAATAGTTGCATCCGAAAGTGGAGATAATGTGATACGAACTCAACTAATACAAGGACGCATTGTGGCTGGACAAGATGCTACTGCCAATCAATTTCCATATCAAGTTTTCATGAAAGTGCAATATGATAAGCACAATGGCGCAACATGCGGTGGAGTTTTGATTGGTAAGAATTGGGTACTAACCATCGCCAAATGCACACAGAAGTAAGTACGTCTACACTGCGTAGAAAATAATAAACTATATAAACAAAATCCATCATTGTAGTGTCACTAATGCTACTCTGTACTTGGGTAGCAATGAACGCAACAGTTTTCCCGTTGTTATCAGCGTGCAAGAAAATGAAATTTTTCCACATCCCGACTATAACCCGAAATATCATAACAACGACATTGGTTTAATAAGAATACCACCACTGACGCTGAATGACACTGTAAATATTATTAGACTGCCTTACATGGGTACCACGAACACCTATGCTGATCAATATGCTTATGCTGTTGGTTGGGGTAACACTAATTCAGGTATATGAACCGAATGTATTATATTAAATAATTTGCTTTGATGTTGGAACTCTAATCGCTT